CGGGCCGGGCCGGGCCGGGCCGGGCGGGGAGGGGAGCAGCCGGGCCGACGAGGTGATAAGCGCGTTCGTAGGCCCTGGAAGGCGCTGTGGCTCCCAGCTCCAAGGTCTGACTGCCCAGACACGGCACACGTAAGCTCTGCGCTGCCGCCGCCGGTCCTCCTCTTCGGCAGGCTGCTAATGAATCCCTCTCTCCCTCCTCTGAAGCAGTAAGCTGTCTGTCCCCTGCTCCAAGTACTTTCGCAGAAATCGGCAAGTTATCTTGTTCTTTGTTCTGCAAGTCTTTCCTTCCATTAATTGGCATCTTCCTTCAAATCATCCCGTGTCACATCCTACACATTTCCCATGTCTCTGAACGCAACTTGACGTGTTTCTGAATGCAATAATTATGCACCGTGGCCTTGTGACTGTGGCTGAAGCTGAACTTGTTGCTTTCTTAATGTTTTTGGTTATTTCCTTCTTCCCATATGCATTAGTGTCATATTTAAATGTCATGGCGTTTTCTTCTTCAGCATCTCAGCGACAGAATACCTGCTTTAGGGTTTTATGATATCCTGTTTTGTCTATTGTAGTACTATCTTCAATGTCATTTTGTATTGGATTCTTTAATTTCAAATGATGGTTGTTGATTTTCTGAGCTCTGTAGTTACAGTAAGATGGGTGTAATCTCTGAATGCCAGTACTTCTCCATAATTTTAATTTATGTTGTTCTTAATTTCCTTACTCATGTAGCCTCTTGTGCATTAAATTGCTCTGTTGAACGATTACCTCTCTGACTCTCATGGCCACCTTTTTGGTGTTAGACTAGTTCAGCCTGCTACAACTTATTTTTGCAAAAATCTTCGGCTGTATCTTTTGTACTTATTTTGTTGGGTTTTATGGAATTCCATTTTATTTTTCTAACCTTTATCTGCCTTTCCACTAACCATTCTAAGCCCAAACATTTGTGTGAACTGAAAAAGAGGGGAGGAAAGGAAGAGGTTAAGTAACATCTGTCTTGTTATAGATGCCATGAAAGAACAGCTGACTGGTGATTAGGTCTTCTTTGTTCTTCAATGTTGTATGGAAGTGTAATTAAAACAATTTATTTATTTTATTTAATCCTCAGAGCTTTTGGTCTTGAAATGCTGATAATATTTTCAACATTTTTCCAATTCTTCACCTTTGAGTACCACAGATTTTAACTGGCAAATTCTAAATTCTGAACTAACTGGTAATTGATTTTGGCTTGGAGCTGTAGTAAGTTTCATAGCCTGAAGTTGACCCACGTTGACCTGACTGTTCTCTTTCAGTGTGTGTTTGAAGTCTGTTGTTTTGTTTTGTTTGTTTGGGTTTTTTTTTGCCACCTAGTCACTATCAAAGGATCAGTTATGTGGTGCTGAGGATTTTTAAGAGTCACCAGAAATCTTAGCTTATTGACCCAAATTCCAAATTTGGATGAAGTTGTTAGTACATTTGAAGTCTAAAATTTATTTTTTCTTTTTCTCTATAAATTTCTTTGTTATTAGTCTTATAATGTCTGAGCTCCTTTCAGCTTCTCATTAAACAGTAACTAACTTGCTGCATGATTGTTCTCATTTTCTCCCTAGGAGAAAAGCAATCTCATCTTCAGTGACCTGGTTTGTTAAGAGTTTACGTGATGATTCTGTGCATCAGACATATCCCGATTCTGCACTTTATTCAGTCAGTTGAAATTATTCAGGTCCTTGCTGTCATTCTTTTCATTGCATGGTTCTCTATTAGGTGCTAGGTTAAGGCCTGAGTTACTTGTTATGTATGGATTTGCAAGGGGAAGGTTTCTGCTAATTAAAATAAGCATTTGGATCACAAGGAAAGGAAAGACCTTTTTTGCTGTTGTTTTAACAGGAATAAGTGTGAAATATGGGGAGGAGAAAAGAGATGAAGACAACACAAATTGACCGCTGGTTTGAAAACACTGTTAGAATGTCCCTGCCTAAATGGCTTTTCCCTCTGCAAAATTTCTTGGCAGGCTCTCTCCACTGTGAGGCTGTATTTATACTTGTAAATTAAACATATCTGCAAATCTTCTTGGACACAAAGAGCAGTTGGCATGAAATGGCCCACATTTATGCTAGTAAATTCTCTTATCTTCCAAAACAAGGCAGTAGGACAGAAACTGCTTGAGGAATGGCCTTAGAAGGAGTTATCACATCAGGCTGGGAAGGCGCCTGGGAGAAGAGGTGGTTGTCACTGGCCAAACCCCTCCCAGGGACTGTTGTCACAGTAACTAATACAGACAGCTACACTTCACTGAATTTACTGCTATCAACATCGCTCAAGACTCATAGTGTTACTCTGGCTCCCATAAAGGGTCAAATATGATAAAAGAGGTTTCTTGCTCTGCCTCCTGCAAAATGTCTGGTTTTGGATCTTTCTTAAATAATGAGACTATGTCAAAACTAACAGTGGCATAGAGCTAACCAGAATTGCTTTTTGCTCAGATGAAATTACTGGAAGAATGAAGGATAGAATCTGTTGGTGCTAAAAATAAAGGGAAACAGGAGGATGAAGTGGGTGAAGGGAACCAGTGGGATTGGTAAGGAACATTAATCACAAAGCTGATGAAGAATAAAGGTGGAGAGAAAAGAAATGTCTGCTCTGAAGGAAATTAGGAAAATACTCAGAAATTAATGTAAATCTCTCTTCATAACCTTTATGTTATCTGCTTCATCCCTTAAAATTCTACAGAACTAGGGTTGACTGATTTTTGCATCCTTTTGTTTGCTGCACATTGTTATTAAAGCCAAGCATTATTTTTGGCTTAGTGCAAAAATAATATCTGAAATTAATTTGGGAGTAAAGCTTTAAAATCAGCAGCTGCTTTGCTTAAAAATAGCAGAAGCAAAACCGAACAAAAAACAACCCCAAACCAAACAAAAAACACTCTACCTAAAACCAAAACAAACCCTCCACCAAAACAACCAAAAAACCCCATGTGGGAACAATGACAAGACACAGTTGCTTTTCAAGATAATTTCATGTTTTCAGTACAATGTAGATAAAGATTTTTATTTTAATGAAAGAATCAAAGCATAAGCTTGGGTAAGAGTTACTAAAGTGCTGCAGCAGAAAAAAGGTATGAAGTGCTGTGTGCAGGCGCATCGTGTGTCTGAGCAAGAAGGTAGTAGTTTGTTGTCTAAGTTGTATATAATTATGTGGCAACAAGTAAACTTTTTATTTTAAAACTTTCCATTAGTCAGAATTTTACAAATCAAGTATGGCTTGATGTGCAGTCTTCATAACAATTTCTATTTTAAGGATACTGAAACTGTATTTTTGTTTTTTAGAATCTAAACCAGTTGGTAGGATAGGAGAGGGAATATTTTCTGGTGTTCTGAAGACACTTGAATCTTAGGGGTGGAAAGCACTATGCAAGTAAACACATGAAGCAACATATTGAAAAGAATGTATAGTTAATCATAGTATGACAGAAAATCTTTAAATTCATTGGGGGAATGTGAAAGTAAGCTATGTTTTTTGAATACACATGTATTAAAAAGGTTTGCATGTAGTACAGAAAGGGAACTCTCATGCTGGCCATGCAGGGCCTTGCCATTTGGCATTGGAGTTATTTCCTTGAATACTGTAATTGATGTCATCCACTGTATTGCCTGGCCACTTGGGACGGGATCAAATGAGAAGAATAAGAACTACATAGTTGATTTCTGCCTTTCCAAATGTACTGAATATACATGTGCTGTTTTAATTTTGCTGTAAATAAGAATAGAAGGAGGAAATGTCAGTCCTCCCCCTGGACAATACTTTTTTCAGTCTTACTGTAAACACTGTTTTAATGCAAGTTAAAACCACTGTATTTTTCCTTAGTCCATGTATAGCTTTAGTTCTACTTCATATTTTTATTTATGTTCAATTGCATCCATCAGCAAGGCACTATATGGTCACAAAATAGGTGCTTTTTATCAGAAAAATAGAGGAGAGGGATGTGTGGAAGTAGGCATAGACTTGACATTCTTGTCCACATATATGTCAAACAAAGCCTTTTCAGTCACTGACTGTATTCTCAGTCAAATTTATTAAGTTTCTAGTGAAATCAGTGGGAGTGTCCCATTTTTACATACAAAGTAAAATGGGACATTTTGGTCTTAGGTGAGACTTCACGATGTAATTCAGAGCTTCAAAGACTCTAAGTTTAAAAAAACACTCTCAAATATCTTCAAGTAATGTGGCTTCTGCTTCTCTCTTGTATTCTTAGAGAACTGCTAGTCCATTTATACATTACCTACAACTGACCAACTTGTCAAATTTCAGGTCAAAAGAGTATTTACCTGCTTAACTATATCAAGGTCAGCCAGTACACAGGTCAGTGTTAGGACATAAGAAGCAGACTTTTTCCCGTAACATGTTTTAAACATCTTTTGGGCCTTTAACCCTCTGATAAATTGTCGGACAAATTCTTTTGATTGAATTCTTTTAGCAGTAGATAACAGTGTTTTAAACAACCTGCCTGTACAAGGTATTTCTCCTAGTTTGAAACTGGACAATACTGGTTTGGTGTTTAGCTTTGAGTCTGATATGAAAAGGCATGTGTCCTGTTCTGATCCATTAAAGTGTGCAAAGCTCTGCTTTTTCCTGCTTTCTCCAGAGAGTTTCTGGAACGTAGTTTTGTTGGCTAAAGTCTAGAAGGCCAACATAATAATTAAAAAATAGTTGAGTAGTGTCATTTTCATCTACGAGCTGACCATCAAAACTTACATGTTAAATTTGGCAAGGCTAGATGGTCACTCTGAGCATTGTGCTGAGCAGTGGTTGGAATGTATGCTACACCAGCGCAGAATAAACAGTATCTGTTATGCAACACAGAACTCCTCCCAGATAGCAGCTTAGCATGGTAGCTGATGTCTGGAGCACAATACCTTACTCCTTACCTGGTCTGGGTAACTCCAGCTGCTCCAGGCTGCGGGAAGGAATGAAGCCATTCACCTGATTACTGATTTGCTCTATAAAGAAGCAGAGCAGGCAAACAATTTATCAGGTCCTGCGTTTGAAAGTTCAGTTAAGCTGAAGTGGTGTAGATTCTGAGTCTCATGGCAGGGAAGAAAGGCAATCATAATCCAGTCCCTGATTGCAAGTCAGTCTTCTTTTTAATTCAAGTTTAGTATGGAGCAAGAGAGAGAAGTGCTAAGAAGGTTGAGTCCGCATCCTTATATCCTTTTGTTCTGTAGGTATGGTGCATTCACTTCTTTCTCCCTCATTCTTTTATTTGTATGGCATTCAGTAACTTTTGGGTATAGAGGCAACCTTCAGGCATTTAACCAGCTTTTTATTCCAACAGAAAGAAAGAAAGAAAAAAAAAAAAAAAAAACAACAAATTTGTCAAATTCTGATGTCTTCTTGCCTTTTTTATGAAGAAAATCTGATGTAACATTCATTTTCTCTGGCTCTTTTGCAGCAGACCAAAAACATTTCAACATCAGTATTAAAATTACAGAGTAGATATTTCAAGCATAGCTAAACCTCATATCGTTATATGTAATACTTGATGGTAATTTCAACCTATGTCCCATATCCTGTGAGTGCTTTAACTGCACAACATTGTGTCTGCTGGGGACAGTGTTTTGGTTAGGCACACGTAGAGCTTATCTACTGGAATGGACTGTGGTACTTCAAGGATCTCTGTTTGACTTGTCAGTTTGAACTAGGGATCCAAGGAAACTATTTGGCAGTATAATTTTTTAGGCAATTTCACAGACACCCCTTTGCAAAGAGTAGAAGTTTAGACCTCTGAATTAGGCAACAGCTGAGCTATGAATTTGGAAAGAGATCGATCAGCGAAGAAGCTGGGTTCCTTAGCCTCATTAGGCACTTCAGTGTCCCCTGGGGATGTGTTGTGTCTCACAGAGATCAGGTTTTATGACAGCATTTAATCCATTCCTGTGCATTACACTTCATCACTATGCAACAGCAGACATAAACTGCATTATTCAAATACTTGACACAAACCTGTTGACTGCTCTGAAATATTTTTTTTTCCTTGCTCTTCAGGCTGCCTTTTTTCCTGTGCTCAAGGCTGTGGTGTGATACTGTTATTGACAGGCCTGTTTTCTACAAATGTATGGAAGGCTGGTGATGGAGTCAGCAGCTTTGCTTTCTGGAATTCTCAGCTTTAGCTGCCGTGTTGTTAAGGAAGTGTAATCCAGGTGGCCAGCCAGCTCTCTGAGCTCCTCCACAGTCTGTCTGCAGGCTGAACTGCAGGCTGCACCCTCAGCCTCTTGCTGGCTGGGTTAATGGAATGTTGGGGGGTGGGGGGGGATTTACTTTAATGCAATTATCTTATAAGAAAAAATGAAGACCTAAAGACTTCTGCCTCTGCAGGGCAGAGAAATGAAAAATTAAGTGTCAGATGTGTTATCATATCGTGATAATACTTAATAGTGCTGTTGTCAACAAAACACAGATTCCAGTCAGGTACTCATTTCCATGCAAGAGAACACTACTGGTGACCTAACAAGAAAGTATTTTCATATATGGCATAATGGCTTTCCTATCTTTTATTGTAAGATTTTATCCGTTAATTTGCTGGAAATTTCGTGATGCTGAGCAGTGTGATAAGCCCAGAAAGCATGCCTTCAAATAACTTCATGGAGGAAATTGGTTCACTTTTGCAATGGGCACTTTGCATAGTTTAAACTAAAACTTTGAGACCTCAGACCCTAAATTGACAAACTTCTAGGAGAAAGTATCAATTAAAAATTAAACTGTCCATTTCACTACTGGTTAAACTAAGTACTTGATTCTATGCTGTGTACAAATCAACGTTGGTAGCTAAAAGTCTCTTTGTTTCTTCAGTGATAAAAAAATGTCTCCCTTTCACTGATATGTGAACTTATGGACATGAATATATGTGATCTGATAGAAGGTATGTAGCATGTGCTTAAGAAACACACAAACCTTTCTTGTATCGATCACAAAGTAGAATTAATTATTTTTCACTTGGTTGTTCACCATTGCATATGGATGCACACAGAACGTGTCTAATGAGTCAGGTCAACAGCCACCTGCTTCTCCAGTCAGACTTTACGTGACAATGGGGAAACAACCTGGACTGCAAAACATAAGATAATAGCTTTATATAACAGGAAGTGCAACTTAAATAGGTTCTTTAAGTCAGGAAAGTAATGATAAAACAAAATTGTTCCTATTTGTTTAAAAAAATTATTCGGTCAATGAATAATTATTTTCAGTTTTTTTTATATCTAGTAAAAATGCCTTTTTCCACATTATCTCTGTAAAATAGCATTGTTCCCCGAAACTTCCTATATTTAAAAATTCTGGAGCTGTTTGTTGAAGCAGATGTGAGACCATAAAGTTAAGGATGAATTCCTACAAAAAAAGTTTAGAATAAAAGCCAATTTAAAACCAGGTCTCCTATAGACACCAAAGGATTTGGATACAGAAAACAAAGGGGCACTAAGAGAGTTGCTCCCAAGCGTTGTTAGAGTCACTGATATATCCAGATCTCTAAAAAAAGGAGTAACCCTATTCCTGACCTAGATAAGAGTCTGAGAATAAAATATAGTTGTTTGCTGATCACTGAAGCAGACATAAATGTTTGCTGATTTTATTAAGACGTTTAATTTTTCCAGGAGAAATTTAAGTTGTAAAGTCAAAATAAGAGCATATAGTAAGGGGTTCTCATTGGCAGTAAGTCACTCCAGTGCGTTTAAAAAAGGTCCTGCATCATCTAATTCTAGGAAAGCTACTGTACTTCAGTTATGAAAAATCAAAATGTTTAGGTTTGTTCTTTAACTGCCACTTTTTTACCTCATTTTCTTTCATTTCTCAGTTTCTCTCGTTCTTTTCATGTGAAAAACCCTGCTCTATTCAGGATTCTATACAGATGGAAATCAGTTTAGTAGTTTCAGTATGTTCTGCTATGCTTTTTTTCTAATTTAAAAGACAGTTTTAATCAAATTCAAGTGTTCTAGAAGAAGATTGTTTTCCTGTCTCAGTTTTAAAAAAACTCCTTTTCTGTGGCAGGGTGAATCAGTTCAGAATGAAATCTGTTCATTTGTAATCTGAAATGCTCCAGTTGGGGGTTACCTAAATATTCATCTGGGTCTACCTGAACTTCTATAAATTGCTATTTCTTCTTCAAGGTCTGGACTTTGTGTCTGGACTGTGTTTCCCAGCATAAAATGTCTTTTTTTTTTTTTTTTTTTTTTTTTTTTTTTTGTAGCTTGTACAGGGTGGTGGCACGTGGGGTGGAGCTTGTCAAGTCATAGAATAAAATGGGAAAATGAGCCACAGGTTCCTATGGAGATTATAAAAAACATGAAAAAGTATTTCAATATTTTCAAGTATTAAAATATTTAAATTGTGTCAAGTGTTCTGCATTTTTCAGAAATTCATTTTGGAGTTTCAGCATAGATGGGTCAATGCCACAGTTTCCCATGGGGCAGAAATAGTTCTTTCTTTGCTCCCTGAAACAACTGTGCTTGTGGCTCATTGCAGAGTCAAGAAATGTAACGTGGCAGTCATTTCAAACAATAAATATGGCAAAAATTCCAAGTACGTAATTAAATTGGAAAAGTAATCTTAGTTCTGAGCCAGAACACTTAGTGACTGAGGTTATCTAGATAACGATGGCAGGTAGAAGGAGCTCCTTTTGAATTTTCAGTGTTGGGATTTGAAGGAGTGCATTACTAATTTGTGGAACAATTAAGTTGTGTTCATTAGCGATGCTCTGTCACAAAACAGTTTTCAGAGTGGCCAACAGTAGTTACATTTGAGATGGTTTGTGGTCTGTTGTAAACTTCTACAGTGTATAGTAATGAAAATGCTTATCATTTTCTGACTATGAATCTGGCAAAATTAAGTTTAACATAGGTGCACAACAACTTTAAAAGCTTTAAATGAGAAAAATTTAGGGGGAAACATGGTTTGTATGGAGTTTTGTAATAACGAAAAACTTGAAGCGGGGTTGACTGAAAATTAATTTCTAATTTAACTAGATGTATGGAGACACTTCTCTAATTAGGAGAACAGTTCACTGCAATGCTACTAATGTGAGAACTTGATCCTTTTGGTTTTTTTCCTTCATAAACTGACAGACTTGTGTTATTTCAATCAAGACAGGGCAGGCTGTCTTTAAACAAACTCATAATATTCTTGTTATTAATTTATGGTGGTATCACAAGTTATTTAATAATTGAATAACAGTCTTGCCTTTTGTTTAATCAAGAACAGTTTGGTCATTTAAAGCAATGAAAATAATATGGCTCAGAGAGAGGTGGGGAATGTGCCCCGAGCAAAACCAACTGTAGCCTCAAGTGCTGCTGCCTTATGATTCACTTCATCATTACTTCCAGCCAAGGTTTCTGTAATGATTGATCTGGAAATAGAAGGGCATCTGCTCCAGATTCCACTAGTGACCTGTAATGAAAAAACATTTGAGCATGACTTCTTTTTTTGAAGGGCTGATTTTTTAAACACTTATAATAATCTGAGCTTGCTTGAATGACTGCATTTTATAAAATCTTTTCTACTAAAAATTACAAAAATGCTGATGTTGAAAACACCGTTTATCTTTAGTGGGGTAACAGTACAACAGTTCCCAGTGTACATGGTACTTGTTTCAAGTGTTTTGTTATCTAATCCTGCTCAGCAGATTATGTGGCTGACTGGGAGTACTGTAATCAAACAGGAACACAAGTCCCACTGGCTGCTTGGACCTGCAGCCTCAATGAGTTAGTGTCCTGGTAATCTCCCTCCTCCTCCCCAGCCAATTACTCATACTGCTGTCATCAGGCAGATCAGTACCTGCTTTGTTTTTCAAAAATGTGATCATTTCTGCCTCCATTGATGGCATTGCAGTGTTACATAAAGGCATTACAGCAAGATTAAAAGGCCTTTGGGGCCAATAAAAGAAAAGAGCTGAGTAGCTACTGAATGGCTCTGAAAAATAGATACATTTTATAACTGTCTTTATTGTGCAAGGGCAATAGCAAGCTGAGCTACCAAAGGTTAACCTTCAATTTGCAATTCAAATGTGAATCACGGTCATTTATGCACTGCAGTAATTTGAGGTGATTGATATGAATCTTGAACATTAAGGAGAGTTACTTTGTTTAGAGAGGAAATTAGAAGTTTAGAAGTGAAATGCTGCAGTTCTGTTAGAACTTGGGGAAACAGTGCAAGAAAAACATGCAGTAAGAGCTAAGGCAGATTACAGACGACTGAGTTGACAGTTGTTAGCTGAGCTATTCTGGTGCATACTGAAATCTAAATTATGTCTGAAGTTGAGTGGAAAATTGATTATAAAGCTAGCTAAAAACGTCAGAAATAGTATAATTGTAAAAGATTATATCAATGCACTATTGGAAGAGTAATTTTTTTTCTTTATTATATTGTTTGTTAAAAGGTTTTGTACAACTGAGGTTTAATTCTAGGAAGGAGAAAGCCATTGGGGCAGGGAGGGGGGGGAACCAAACCAAACCAAAGCAAACCAACCAAGCGCTCCGTGTACCAATTATGCAAATCTCTTGGTACCATACACAGGTGAGAGACCTTCTTCAGCAACGGCTTTAGAGTAAATGTGTCACCCATTTATTTCGGGGTTAACTCTAAGAAGAGACAAGCAGTGTCTGGGGCAGCGGAGTGCTGCAGGGAGGAAAAAGGCCATTGCCAGGTGCTGCTGTGCTGTGGTGCAGCCCTGGAGGGCAGCGAGCAGGCAGCCAGCACCTGCGCCAGGTGGGAGCAGAGGCAGGAGGTCTGGCCTCCCTTCCTGGGCTTGCCCTTGCCCCTTCCCATACCTGTGGCTGTTGTCTCCCCACGGTGGCAAAATTCCATTTGTTTACTATGCTCTTGATAAGTTTGAAGACAGTGTTAGTTTCTTTCAGGATTGTTTTACAAATAACTGGAAGAACTGATAATGTTTATCTTTTTACTGAACTCTTGTCTCTGATGTGTTTATATTAGTACAGAAATGGGATCATTTCACAGAGATCTGAAAACAGAAAACATTAATAAAGGTAATTAATTTTATGTGACAATATTTAACTGAAAGTGACGTATATTTTTGTTTTTACTCTGAGAAAGTAATGTTTCTTCATGAGTGACAGTACAACTTTAAAAAATATATAGACAATTAACTCTAGTACCTGGTCTAGAGGAAAAGAACAAGAACGTTTGTTATTGGTTAAAACATGAATCAGATGCATTACAGCTTGCATGTGTTCAATCCAATCTAAAATCTTGTTCTCTATCCTCTGTTAATATAGATTTTCCTTTCTGTATGGGCCTAAAACCAAAGGGTTTAGAACTGATAGGGTTCAGTTCTGCAGCACACTTTCAGCATTCAGTTCCCACCTTTAGTGGAAGTTATTCATGCAAAAGCGAGCAGGAGGTATAGCTTTCAAAAGATTTCTTCATTGAAATCAGTTCTCCTAATAGTTTCAGAATGTTGTTTTCCTAATGTCTGTAAAGCAGGGATTTCAAAATTCAGTTTATGAAAGTTTATTTTCTGGACAGAAATGTTTCTTTTAAGTTTTAGACATGTACAGGAGAAGCTGTTACAAAGAGAAGCCAAGGCTGCCTGTTATACCACTGCTAAACACAAGAACTCATAAGAAAATAATTTAATCCAGATGTCCTATTTGGCAGTCTTCCATTCAATAACAGTCCATAGTCTTTTCAATTAACTCTTAGGTCTTTCTTTTAATGATGTACAGAGCGGTTTTTGCACATATTAGGGGACACAGATATCTTGAAGCCTGGAGCTACTCATTATTTGAATGTGGTTTTACTGCTATAGATGGGATTTCTGGAAGTTTATCTTTCAGGTACTCTGTGATTTCTTTTATGACTACTTCACACATTTAAGAGAAATCTTTGCTGGAGTATTTCAGTGTTTTTATCTTGCCAAGATACTTTATTTTTGCAGCAGAATACCCTAAAGTTAGGAGATTTTGGATCTGGTAGGAGTATCTATTCTAAGTAGCCACATATGGAATGTATCTCCACGTGCTGGTACCCAGCACCTGAATGTTTACTTACATGCGGCTACTAGAGTTACAAAAGTGACATGTGGAGTGCTGGCTGTGCTTTCTATGAGATAAAAAAAAAGTACAGTGTTCAGTGGAGGGTTTTGCTCATTTGCCTTGGTTGGGGGTAGAACAGAATGAATTCTGTTCAATGATGTTACTTTTCAGTTAAAGCTTTTCTAACTAACTGCAGTTTCTGAAGTTAACAGCATATTTTCACAGACAGTGTCTCCTTCTAGCAGTGATAATGCTCCATGTTCAGAGTTACCACCAAGGACTGGTACGCAGACCAGTCAGGGTCACTGCACAATCCTGGGTACCACACGAAGGGGGGCAGAGAGTAAAGCGCACCCGCAGGGGGGAGCGGACAGGACAAGTGACCCTAAATGCACCAGTGGGGTATTCCATCCCGTATCCCTCATATTCAGTATACAAGCTGAAGGATCACGAGGGTCAAGCCCCTTCCCTTCTTCTCTTTTGCTTCTCCTTCAATGGCCAGCATCCGAGGAGGACTCCATCCACTCTGCCTGTGATCCCGAGCGCTGTTCCTGAACCCAGTTCCAGAATCCAGCTCCTGTGCCCAGTTGCCACTGGGTCCAGCCTAGGACTGTACCCCAGAGCCTGCTCCCCAGCGTCGGGGGTAACAGTGACCTACTGCCATCAGAGGGGAGCTGGGTTCCATGCTGGGCTTGTGCATATTTGTATATATTCCATTTTGGTAGCAGTAGTAGTATTATTAGTGTTATTATTGTTTTCTTTAAAGCTGTCATACTTTTCTAATTGTTAAGTCTCTCTTATTCCTGCTTTCTTCTCCTTTCGGGGGGAGAAGGGTTAACAGAGAGTATCTGTTAAAGGTCTGGGGGTAGCCCTAACCTTAAATCGTGGCATTAATAAAGAAAATCAAAGGTAAATAACTCAAATAAGGAGCGTGTGATATGGGAAATATGATCTTCATTTCCATGGTTTTGTGGAAGCTTCTTCTGTGATTATTTTGCAGGGTTCATCGGTCAGTAATCCCGTCCTGTCTGGCACTTTCTTCACCCTGTGGCAGGTTAGTAATAAAGCAGTGGGATGTTGAAGAGAACATAGTACCAACAAAATGCTATTTACAAGAAAAACAACATTTTTGAACAGTTGGTTGTTTTTGTTTGGTTTCCCCCTCCACCATCCCCACCCCCCCCATTGGTTTCATATTTGAGTTTGGTAAAAATTTTGTTTTCTCTGCTTTATTGCTGAATAGAGTATGGCTCATTTCCTTTCATGAGCATCACTAACTGTCCTCAATCTTGTTAATGCACTTGATGGTAAAATTTTCCCCTCTTTTCTTGACTTACTATTCTGCAAAAAAAAAAAAGATATTAGAGAAGATACTCCCTCTGATTTACTACTTTGATTTATAATAGAGTGTGTTTAAGACCTTTGTGCCAGAACCTTATGTCCTGGATATTTTGAAGTCAGATTCTGATGAAGAAAGAGTTCAGGAAAACCCAGATTAAAGCCCTTCAAGCTTTTTGCTGATGATGAAATTGTAACTTAAAAAAATTGCCACTAGTCTTCAAGAAAAAAGGAAAAATAAGGACCATGAGTATTTCTCCAATATTTTTGTGCCCTAGCAACAGCAGCAGTTCTTTATTCTCCTCCCACACTGCTGTCTCTGATATGCAACCAGGAGTGGTAACATTTGCTTTGCTTCTTTCCTCCTCCTCCACATGGCAAGTGCAGCTGCTGCCATCACCATCACATTTCATGACAACCCTTATGCTTTGCCTGTTAACTTGTAGAAACAGTTCTCCTTCACTCAGAAAACTGCTAACAGAAAAATCCCAAATGTGGCAATTGTCTTGCAAAGTAAATTAGGACCAAAAGATGTAAAAATAGTTTTCCATTTCAGTTTGAATCAGGTGGGCTTTGAAGTTTGGCAAGGAAATTCCACACTGCAAACTTAAGTTTTCTTAGAGTATAAAATCTAAAAGATATTTCCTCATAATTTTAGCTTAATGTCACAAATGTCCCTCTTTGCAACCACCGCACATTTTCAGAGACCTGATAGATGTGTTCAGAGAGAAATAAGGGATGTTTCTTGGAAACCACCAAATGAAAAAAGATAAGTCTTGCTAAGCTAAAGGAAATTATGGGCAGATTTATTTTTTTTAAATGCATTTTAAATGCAGTTTTAGCTGTTGAAAATTTGCATAAGTCTTTATGCTTTACACCACATTGTGTAAGAATTTTTACTCCTTTACTCAGCCATGCTTTTCTTTCAAATCTTGGTATCCCTCTTTAAGTCATGGTTCCTGGATTACTTTTTTTTTTTTGATTGCACAGTTGTTCTTCACTATGGTACAGTTTTACATTTAGAGACAGCACATTTTTGTAGCTGACACAAAAGCTACTCCCAACTGCTTGTCTTGATATAGCTGCACAATGTGGATCAGATCTCTTTTCTCTCCTTTCTCTACACAAAGCTTTATGAAGACATTCAGAGAAGTGTTCAGCCAGCTGTTTTATTGAATTTGCAAAGAGTTAAAAGAAGTTTCCCCCACCTAAAAGAGAGCTGGGTGTTTTGCTTTCAAGAATCATGTGGTGCTACTGAAGTGTTTCTTAATTTATAAACACAAGAAAATGTTTTGCTTATACAGAAAAAAGCAACATGCAAGAAACAAATGTTAGTGGACCTAACTTAAGTCAGATTGCTGTGTTGTGATAACAACGTTTTCAATGACTTTATGCAAGTTTTATATTAACTGAGGAACAAGCTCAAGAACACAGTTCAAATTACCATCCTTCTAATATTGCTGCTTGCAAAGAACCTGCGTGTTAGGAATGGAATGTTTCTTATAAATATTTTTATGTGCATACACAACTAGATAGACTGCTTGATTCTGCTGTCTCAGAATGAGGAAAACAAACTGTCTTCTGGGATCTGCCACTTCTCTCCTAGAAAACACAATCCCATATCCATTGCCTGTCACCAGGAGGGATGTTCTTTTTTTCATATTTTACCCCAGACCTGTGAGGAGAGGGCAAGTACAAGGCTTCTATTTAATAACCCAAGCTACTGTTTCCACCCAAGCAGGCAGTTGGTCTTGATCTGCTGCTCACATTATCTGTCAGTTGTTGGTTGGTATTGAACTGTCAACAAATAAACAATTCCAAAATGTATCTTCCTTGTAAATGATTTTTTTTTTTAACCGAAGTCGTAGCTATGCCACTTAAACTAGTTTGATTTTGTCTTCTCTAGTGCTAATACCATCTCTTACCTTGAAGTTTTCTGCCTCCCTGTTCTGGATCTAATGAGCTGGATCAAATTGCAGAAATCCATGATGTCATAGGCACTTCTGCTAACAAAACTCTCAACAAGCCCAAGCAGTAAGTATGCACTCTCATAGCTATTAATCCCTCTGTTTAAATTCCACAATATAACTGTATAAATGTGTGCAATTTCTGTTCAGAGAACCACCACAAAAATCTAATTCTGTTGTGACAGCTGCTGACCAAAGAGGGGTGCCTTCTGTCCCTACCCAGAGTCACGCATTCATGATCCTTGTAGGCAGAGCAGAGGAAATCTGAGCCTGCATCAGTCTTATTTGGCCTTTTCTTCCCACGGTATCTTTAAGGCCAATGACACAATTTGTTAGGAAAGAAAATATCTTTGTTCCAAGCGTTACTCACCTGTCCCTAATAAGTGATCAACTATATCAGATGAGAGTATTTTTTTTCAGTATATTGTAATTCTTTCTGAATATGCACGAATAACTCTTCTCAACTTGCTTATCACAGGTCAAGAACTGCAAGTATTGATTTCCCCTTTTTAAAAAGAATTCCACCTCTTGTGCACAATTTGTCTCCCAAAGGTATCTCTGTCCTATATGCAATGGTAAAATACGATCCTGATGAGAGAACTGCTGCTTACCAAGCGTTACAGCGCCCTTATTTTCAAGAACTCTGGCAAGTGACTTCAAATCACTTCAATCCTGGAGACTGAAATTAAAAAATTGGGGGGGGAGCATTGTGTGCTTATTTAGAATTGGTCTGAAATGAAGTTTGTTTACAGTGCTAGTACTTAGCTTGCAATACAAAAAACATAATTCAATCAATGTAATTCTTTGCAAGTCCAAACTTCACCTAAGCACAACTGATGTGTTTGGTTTTGTGTTTTTTTTTTTCCCATTTTTTTCCCAAGAATTTTTAGGGCAGCTGATACAGAAGCTTTGGCTATGCACAAAAAGTTAAGAGTACTAGGAAACATCAGGGCAAGGACCTCTGCATTTGTGGCAAATTGCAAAGAAAATTCGAAGAGAGGTAGTATTGAAGTGGAAGAATTGTCACCCAGTTTAGAGAAAGTAATTTGTGGCACTGAGCTTGTTAGCTAGAAACAAATGTTTTACTTAAGCCGATTACTTGGTTTTATTCAGTCTGCCCAAACACTGATCTTTATTTGGTCTGATGCAGTTCCACCCCTCCCCCCAAAGCCTTGAAAGACACCAGTGAGAGTTTAGAAGCTGTGATAGCATATAATCCCTTCAGTAGACTCTTGTCATAGTTGCTATTACTTGAAAGGGTCAGTTCCACATTGATTTTGTTTTTGAGTATCATCCTCCTCTTTTTGCTCTCTGCCTTAGAGTTGAAGGGTTTTACAGATGAAGTTGTAGCAGAGACAGAAAATCTGCCTTTGGCTTTTTAGGCCCTCAGTCCACATTTTCAGCAACTAAAAATTTATTTTTTTTAAATAATTATTGTGTATTTAGAGGGTATCTGGGAAAATCCTAAACTTTTTTTAACATTGGAAGTTCAAATATTAAATATGATTAAAAATCCTAGTAAACTAAAACTTGGTTTAAATTCAAACTATGTGAAAAATTTTTCACTCTTAAGGCTTTGCTGTATCTGCAAGGTGAGATAGAAATTAGTTCTACATGAAAAACCCTCAAATACAGGTTTTTCTCAAAAACACACATTACACTAGGAAAAAATAAAATATTTCTGTTGTGTATTTACCCTTGAAAATATGAACTCTCCTTCAGAAGTAGCCACTTTTTCCACCAGTTCATTTCTGGGGTTTATCAATGTAGACTTTGTAAGAAGTTCCTTCAGGAAAAATTGCAAGAAACATCAAGTGAAGCAGTAATTTTAAAAAAAGCATTAGCTGAAGTAGTATTTGTTGGTGTTTTGTTGTTTTGCCTTCTTTTTCCCCCTTGTTAATTTGGATTTGATTTAATTTTATTCCTTAAGATGTTCTCAGAAAGAAACTGAATCTTGTTTATTTAGCAATTCTCTTAGGAAACTCCAGGACAAAAATGAAACAACATGGAGAATTCTCCTCATGAAGAATTACCAAAATTAAATCTTTCTTGGGTAGCCAAATTGACTTCCTGTCCTACTCCTACGTTGCATTCAATTTTCTGGGCACCTAAAGGAAGGGTTGAAACCCCTGTGTTAATCTGTTAGATTTATTGGATCAAACATTGAGGTACAGACTCCAACTTGCTCATTAAGTGTAATAGCAACATGGGTGCTACAGACCATATTTCAAACTTCATTCCTTAACAGTCTGAGAAACAGAAGACACTTAAGTGTTCCCCAAAACGCTTCCACTTACCTGCTATAGAACGACAAGGAGGAAATTACCACCTTGTAAAGGATTTGGAGTGTGAGGAGAAGCACGACTGTGCAGTGAGAGAGACCCCATCATGCATCCGTCCATTAGAGACAGAACACAAACAGCAGTGCCTTAGTTTATTTCTCTGACAATTTGTAGGAAAACCCTACAAGGTTATGAGGGCTGCTTACCTACCAGTTTGGTAATCTGTTCCTGAAGATTGTCAATATTTAATTAAAACATTGTTCTGGCAGTACTTAGAGCACGTTCTGTATTGAACTTTAAGCATTTCTTCCTTCTAGAACTTGATGAAGGAGGAGGAGGTTAGTTAAAAATAACATGGAAGGATTCTTTGAGCTTCAGTGTTAGGAATGGAGTATTAGCTACAAAATATAAGTTTTCATATTGCATGATAAATGACAGCTAACTTTTGTATATTTTTCAGATGCAAAATTTTTTTATTTCTCGGTCATCACTGGGAGGTATTCACCTCCTGTATTCAGTAGCTCCAACATCAAGTTTTATTGAGAATGTGCAGATTATGTAATTATATAGGATACTTGATTTTGATGCAGTTTCTGTACCTGCTGACTATTTTTATGTAACTGTAATCCAGCTAAAAGCTAAAGCAACTTTTTGATTCAAAAGCAAGTCAAATCTAGGCAGTTTTCTTCAAGACATTGATATTCATATTAATCAAAAGTTTTAACAGTGATTGATATTGTAGCCAGTCGCTCAAAAAAGCATTAAAGGCATTTATCTTAGCACATTTCAGAAATTTTGCACACAGATCACCAGTAACAATTTAATATGTTTCTGTTTCCTAGAGCTATAAAAAGATAAGAGTTTAAAGTCAGCATTTTTATTTTACTTGGAAAGACTAGTTGTCAAATGGAATTTGATACCGTTGATTTTAATACTCATGAGATCTCAAAAAAATATTAATAATTAATTTGCTATATGTAAATTTGCTGATGTGTTAAAAATGATTTTGCTATTGTAAAAAAAATCAATGAGTCTGTGTAAGTCATGCTTAGCTGGGGGTTTAAAAGTCTACCAAGCGTGCATGCAAGGCAAGTTTTGCAAATAACTTCTTGATTTTTTTTTTTAATAGTTCCAAAAGTTACTCTGCTCATAACTGGGACGTGATCAGCTTTTTTTTCCAGTAGTTAAACACCTCTGGGCCTGTTGCTGCTGTTCAGAATTTTCTGTGCAACACAAGTGAAAGCCAAGCGACGAGCCAGCAGGCGAGGGCCATGATGTGTGAGAGATCCCTGCTGCGCAGGAGGCTCTACCAAATATTGCCCTGGGCAGCAGGTCGCACTGAAGTTACTCAGCCAGCCCTTAAGCATCATTCTGAGATTGATGCTCTAAATCCAGACAAACTCTTTATTTTAATCAGTTAAGAAGCACTGCAAGCAATGCAGTAAAATACATGTTAACATAAAAATGCTGGTCATCTAGAATAACATCATGCCCATTATGCTGTAGGCTCTCCTTGTGAGATTTTATTAGGCTACGCTGGTGAAAATAACAATTCTTCTCATTCGATTAGAGGTTTTCCAATAGGTGGCCTTTTTTTTGTTTTCATTTTTGTTTGTTTTTAAGAATCAGCATCTCAACACTTGCAGGATTCTGTTGTGACTGCATTAGATGCTATTTCTTGTTCTACCACTTCTGGGTAACTTTGAGCATGTCCCAATTCCACATTGCAGCTTTTCAAAGTGAGGAAGCTCCTAAGACACAAGTTCTTCATGATTCCTTTAGAGATTTAAGATAGACAAGTGCTTTTAAGCAGTGTATTTACCTTCATGTTTTGAAAAAGGTGTTATCTTCAGACACTGTACTAAGGATCAACGTGCCATTTACTAGCAGTTTTTTTTTTAAATTGACAATATAGGCAAGATAAATGTGTTTGGTGCATGCAGTGGGAGTAATTTTTTGGTATTGATTCAAATTTGACAGTCCGAGTGGAGTATCTTGCACCTGCATCATGGCCTGTTGTAGGCCTGCTCATGTTACTCTGTTTCTTCGTAGTAAACTTTCAGAATCTCAGTAGTAAGAATGGGAAAACATCTCAGCCCTGGCAAGTCCTCTTACTAGAACTGAATAAATACATACACAGAGGAAGTGTTCTACACCAGTAGAGAGAGAACATCGTAATAAAGGGAGGGTTAAACAGCAGAACATAATGGTACAGCTAACAGCTCTTTCTCATTTTATTGACACTCACACTGGACGGATGCTGTCTTTCCTACGGTTCTAAGCAGAAAATAAGCTCCTGACCATGGTTTCTCAAAGTGCAGTGGAGGATGCATACAGACAGAGTGACTGGCCAAGTTCTACTGCTCTGTTACAGTTAATCACCTCCCTACTTTGTCACGCTTTCACGTTAGCAGCTCATACTGATAGAACAGAGAACTTCAACAGTACGGCAATCGAATAGTTGTTTGGCTACCTAGCATAGGCTTATGTATATTTATATATATATATGCTAGGTTTATATCTAAGAAAGGTGTGAAGCTAAGCTTGGGGACTGGAATTAAAGACTGCAGTTCTACAGGGAACACAGTGTAACAGTAACATTGAACTTCTTACCTTTGGAACTCTGAGCAAAAGGTGCCATGAGCTTATCCAGTGTTTTTTCCAGAGAGAAAGATGGTGAGTTGCCAGGTGCCAGTATTTTTGGATTTGAGTGCAGTGTACAGCAGTAAAAATAATGGTCTAAAAGTAGGTAACACTGTATCTGAGGGATCAGGCTCTTACCCAGTTATACAGTAGGATGAGGCTCCTATTATCAAGAGTATGTTCATGATGGAGAGGTGTTAATTGTATTGGTAGCCTCCTGTAATCTTGTTCTGGAAACCTCAAACCATAGATGCTGAAGTTTAATATTTCAACATTTCTACTAAAAAAATTTTCCTCAGCTCATGTTTGCGTAAGATACTTTAGTTTTCAGAAGTGTTATTGGAACTTTTTGCTTCTATAATTACTACACCAGGTAGGTAATAACAAGAAAAGGGTTGCTTTTTTAAAAAGATGAAGTCAGATTTTTTGCTAATTTTTAACTTGAAAAGTCTATTGGAGTAATGTCAGCAATTCTCTTCCATAGTCTGTATTTGGGGGCTGTTGGGCTGTTACCATGAAAAAGGCAATTTCACATTCAACAGATGGTTTTTGCTATGAAAAATTGGAAATCTGAACTGAAGGACCACATTGGAATGTTTTCATCATTTATTTTATGCTTTCAGGTGGATCTTAGACAGTTTGGCACATATACAGTGCTTCATGGGCATTTATTTCATAAAAAGTTGGTGTTATACCTCAGGAGACAGCTTACACTGCTCTGGCTGTTGGATTAGTTGGCAAAGTTAAACTAAAACCTGGCAAATACTGTTTCTGCCCTCCTCCTTCTAGCTAAAATTCCATATTGAGATGATCTGTGTTCAATATATTTTCAAACACAGTAGGAAAAAGTTTCAAGAAAAGTTATGAAGAGCTGTATCTATAGTAGAACTGTAATTTCTTTTAAGGTAAGTTATCAATATCCCTTTTCTTCCCAAAATATTTTTTTTTCATATGGAATAAAGGGTGGGTTGGGCAGTCAAGCTTCTAGATGACTGCATAATATTAGAGGAAAGGCTGAAAAAAGAAAAACCACACACATTTCTTGTATGCTGTTGAACTATGGTTTGTAGCAGAGATGTACTCTGCAAATGCATATGCAAGTAACTGCTATTATTGCCCCAGTGTTGGAGGAGACACTTCTTTCCCTATTGGTTTGTGTTTTTCCAGCTGAAGGAGAAAAGTCGTTAAAAGTTATTATGTATTTTCTCAACTGTTTCATTTTGACTCAGACCATATGAAGCACTTATTTTACAGACAGGTAACTACACTAGTTTTCAATGACAAGGTTTACCTGTATTTTAACAGTTAAACCCACTATGTTAATAAAACAAAACTTCTGAACAATAATCTTGCTCAGTTTCAGTATTTTCCCTATTCCTCGTACTTTAGAAGAATGTAAGTAGATAAGAATTATAAACTGCAGTATTTAATAAAGTAGACAAGCTAATTGCCAGCTTATAAAGGTATCTGGCAGTTTTCTACAGGCTAGCTGCATTGCAAGATTAAGACTTAGATACAAGTAGCGACTGCAGTTGTTTCTCCCCAGATGTTCATACATTTCCTGAAAAAAAAAAGTTAACTTCTCAATGCTGGAAAATGTCTAATTATTTGCAATTTAAGAAATGCTACCCAGCTTTATTCCTGGAGAGCAGGAAGGGCATTAATGTGTGCCCTCAGCTAGCTAGAGCAGGTGCATACTCAGGCAATTCCATATTCTCTGGCTAGCAGCCTCCATTCCACTCTGCCTGCCTGATGTCTGGCTGCAAGATTCAGCAAAAACCTAATTGCAAATACAGGATGAAGGAAAGATCTGGCAGAGTCTTCTAACTTTCGTCATTCTGGGGCTTCACATGGAGCAACACCTCTTGGGTTTGTTTTTTTATTTATTTTGATCTTTGCAAAGACTACTGAAAACAATTTGTGTTCTGTGGCTGACTGATTATAAAGAACGTGTTCACACAAGCAGCATTAAACTATACAAATCCACGGGTATGTCTATCTCTGTAACACTAATCAGTTCAAGAGCGTTGAATTATAAATGAGATGCCTGATGTAAGACAAACAAGTTGTCTCAGAAACACATCTACTTCAATATGCTGACCTAATTTTAGATTGCCAAGTCAGAAAGTGTGTACATCTGCTATTGCTGGGTCTTCACAACTCCCAGGACAAATACAGGGGACTATATGATTACAGAATCCTGACCCCACAAAGTCGTCTGTGTGCCAGATTTCCACTCTATGATGTATTTAGAGGTAAAATATTAAGAACAAGAACAGAACAATGTTATTTCACTTTCCTAATTGAAATTCAACTATATTAAATACAAAGCCATGTTCTAGATGAGATATTTTTGAAAGGAATTTGTTCTACAAAGTTTAGATGGTATTTCTGTACCAAACATTTAATTCAACAAAGGATCGATTACATCAAAAGTGATCAAATTTGAACAGAAAGTAAACAAAAAAGCATATTCAAGAGAGTTTAATATGTATTTTCTGAATTAGAAATATCACTTTCTTAAATGACTGAGAATTTCTAGTGTAATGATCCATTACTCCCCTCCCCCATCACTGAATTACATTATTTATACATATAATACAGAGCTGATTGCAGTTGGAAACAACAATATTAAAATAAATGCTTAATAGATACAAAGGATCTTTTCCCCACACCATAGTTTTTCTGGTGTCTGGACACCCAA